CTCTGGAGTCGTGGGTGTGATCCTGAAATAGTTTCCTGCACTAAATGTTACTCTAACAGACTCAGCAGAGAATAGAAAGCTATGTGAAATCGTATGACGGCTTCCCAAAGAAGTGACTGTAGCCAGGCACTGGTGGCTCACACCTATCATCCTAGCTATTCAGGAGGCAGAGATCAGGAGGATTGAGGTTCAAAGCCAGCCTGGGCAAATAGTTCTTAAGATCTCATTTGAAAAATACCCAACACAAAAGAAGACTGGTGGAGTGGCTCAAGTGGGAAAGTGCCTGTGTAGCAAGTGGGAGGCCTTGAGTTCAAACCCCAATACCACCAAACTACAATAACAAAAAAAAGTACCTGTAATTTTTCTCAGTTTCAGCAAGTGTTACAATACCTAACCACTCGTTGGCATCATGTGACATACAGGTAGTCTGAGAACCATCAAGGGTGAGAACCATCAAGGGAGACAACCATCTGGTCAGTTCACTCAGTCAGGGAGCCCTCAAGGTCTCTAGGTCTCTCCCCTTGGATCTTATAAACTCCTAACACCAGAACTGATTGACAGCAGTTTCATGGACGCTGTTGAAGTACAGGATGATACTATGCTAGGATCAGAATTATTCTAGCACACAAACAATCTCCCTGCCTTAAGACTTTTCTAGTACCTTTCTCCCATCTATCTTTCCTGCAATGTACTAAACCTTCTCTGTGAACACAGGGTAGACTCCAAAAAGCTCCAGCAGTTCACTGTTTCCTTTTGCTTCAACATCTAAAAACATAATGTGGGGGTGAAAAAAAAAAAGGCCACACACTGAAATGTCAATGATGATATGTGGTGATGGCAATTCACTGACCATAGACTTAGAAGTTGGAAGTCATGATATGAAAGTAACTTAGTTGAAAACAGTAAACAACATTTGGAGAAATTCTCGAATATGAATTAAAATATTAGTATCAAATCTACACTCTAATGTCTTCTTAAAAAGCACATTTAAAGGTTGGGCACAATGACTCATGCAGGGAATCCCACCTACTTAGGAGACAGAGATTGATAGGATGAAGGTTTGAGGTTAGCCCTGGCAAAAAAAGTTAGTGAGAACTCTATCTCAACCAGCAAGCCAGACATGGAAGTGCATGCCTGTCATCCCAGCTACTCAGGAAGCATAAAGAGAAGATCACGGGCCAGGCCATAAACGAGAGACCTGATTTGAAAATTAATTAGGGCAAAAAGAGTTAGGGGCATGGCTCAAAATAGTAGAGAACCTAGCAAGTACAAGGCCTTAAGTTCAAGCGCCAGTACTGCCCCCCACAAAAAACATATTTCAGTACCCAAATCAAACCTAAAGGTCCCAGATCACTAGAAAATTACTGCAGGCTACATTTGCAAATGCACAGAAATTAAACTTAGCACAAATAGCACAGTATAAGGCCTCAAATTCTCTCCTACTCCATGTATGTTAATCTGCCAGACAGTTTTGGAGCCCAGCAGTAACATCAATCCCACTAATGACATTGTGAGGAATAAGCCACTGGCCAGTGAGCTTGGGCTTATTATGATATAGTGAACACTGAGCACTAGTTATGGCACATGTGAGGCCATACTGCCCCAGTGCAGCAAAGAGCACTGCAGTCCCCAAATCCCTGCTAGACATTTCCACCTAAACATTGTCTTATCTTCTGCCCCAAACCAACAGTCATTCTAGCCTTTATTCTGAACACAAATATGTCCCCAGTTACTCAAGTTCAAACCTATAGTATGATTATTAAATATACTAAGGGAGTAAGGATCCTCTCCATCCTTATCTTGTAATACCTCTCCCATTCATTCTTCCAAACATCCCTATTCCACCTATCCTTAGTTCAAGATTACTTCAACTTAAGTTTCCTGGGACAGAGGATGTAGCTCAGTGGTAGAATAGTAACTACCTACCATATACAAGACACTAGATTCAACCCCCAGCACTACCAAAAAAAAAAAAAAAACTACTTAAGTTTCCCATTGGGGTCTTCTTGATGTCCCCTCAGCCAAATCAAATTCATACTCCAAACATTAAACAAGTAATCTAAGCCTTGACAAAACACCTACAGACTTCTCAGTGTAGCCAACACAAACCTATCCTCATGAGCTTGGGCAAGCATCAAGAACCTTCCACAAGAAATTTCTGAACACCAGGGCTCTAAATATCTGTAAGTCCTCTATGCCATTCTTTTTTTCTCCGTGGTAATCAGCAATTAAATATTTGAAAAGAAAAGGGCTTATGGCTTGATTTCATGGGCAACCAGAAGGAGCAGGTGGACTGCATCCCACACCACACCCAGCCCTAGGAGAATGAAGCCCAAGCGAGGAGGGGGGCGCAGGGATGCAAACAAAATCCCTGTGGTTTTCTGGAGACAAAGTGAGACCAGGGGAATTTCATTCTGAAAAAAAGCCTATGAAATCCAAATATCTTAATTCCACACATTAAAGAAATTTCAATCCAATGGGTAAGAGGGAATATATATCTAAAAAGAAAACTAAACGCGAGTTTGCTCAGACCATGAAGCAAGTAGTTCAAGAGTTGAACAACCAAAAACCCCAGAAAGTGGTCAAGGGAAGAAGTCAGGATTTTGTACTACATCTCAAAGAAGTGTTCATGGAATAAGTTAACCAGTTCAGCTGATGCAGAGAACACCAAGACATAAAGAGAGAGCAGACAGCTGTCTCAGAATTCTATTCTACTTCTCACGTGCTTTCTTAGTCCTATCTCCCCATCTGGACAGTTAATTCAGAGGCCAGGAACCATAATTTGTTAATCTATCAGTCATATGCTATAAAATGTTGGAAACAGTTTTACTATACTTAATCTCAGAATAGCATACACATTGAGGTGCACTCTGAATTCAAATTGTTTAAATACCTGTATTAAAATTAGCAGAAATCTCTTAAAAGTTCAGAAATAAAGATACACAAATCAAGAATCATTTAGCATCCAGAGGCTCTTACAAAAACACTTTTAGGACCTGCTTGACACATTTTCAAAACTAGTTGTTCTCAGACTCGAAAAGTTAAAAAATTTAATTACTGACATCTTCTTTAGGAAGAGACCAAAGAATGGAAAGTCTAATAGAGTAATAAGCCATTTTAAAACAGGTTTACAACTGGTCTTTGAACAGTAATCTCTCTGGGAAATGAACATTGCTCCCTAATCCTTTGGAGGACAATGCAGTATTTGAATCAGGAACAAGAACATTTTGCTTCTACGTAAGTTCAAATGTGAACCTTTCACAGTATCCTCTACGTTAAATACCAAGGAGAGAGAGGAGAACAACTTCTGATAAAAAAAAAAAAAAAAGAAAAGAAAAGAGGTGGCCAGCATTTTGGATTTATAATGTATCCTGTCTAAAACATGCAAAGAGACTTCAGTAGAAGGCAATTAGGGAACTTCAAGGTTTTAGCTGACAGTGATTACTTAACTGGAGCTGATTCCTGTAAAACGAAACTACCAGAACCCCTCAATATCAATTTGCTTGTCACTAAACCACAGGTTTATACTTCAACTTGGAAATGCTAACAGGATGGAACCACAAGCCTTTTAATAAAACGTGATGACCATGGAGAGCGCCCTTGAAGCTTCCAACACAGGATTCAATCCTGAAAGGTTCCCCTCTAGAAAATGAGAGCAGATTTGATGAGGACCCCAGCACCAATCCTGAAACATGACAACATTTTCCATGAAAGGTGGGAGTTGTAACAGTAGCATGCATACAGCAGACACCAGCCCACTAGAAGCAGATGGAACCCACCAATTCATTTTACCCAGCTCTTCAAAAAGGGACACAAAACAACTCTCTCCTTGCCAAACAGGGCAGATCTGAATGGTAAGTCTAAGAAAAGGTTCACAAGGGATTACTAATTGGTGATTTCATTTTGTGTATTCTAGCCCTCAATGTAAAACAGAACCTGAAAATGAAAAGCAATCTGAAAGCCAGTTTTCCATGCCAGACTACACACACCATGGTCCAAATGCTTTACCCCTATTCCAACCACCCATCCCCACCCCCCATCAAAAAAAAAAAAAAAAAACCCTCAGTAACCTATCCTAGCACAGGGGCTCTTCCAGAAGGAAAATCTAGCTGGAAACATTCCTGGCTTATGTACATAATTCACTAGGGGTCAGGTAAGATTCCATTTTGTAAGAACTGAACTTTAAACAGAAAGTCACTAGTGGTGCAACATTCACTCATTAGCATACAGTTACCCCCCTACATGAAAAGCACTGGCCGATTCTGCCAAGATGACAACTTTACAGGGAGAAGCTGGGCTGCTGACCATGAACTCCTGGAAAGTTCTATCAGGGCTCAGAGGAGCTCACCAACACCGGCTTAAACTTAGCTGTTACCCCGGTGCTCCCTAACATCCCCAACACTTGGATTTAAAACAAACAAAAATAAAAAGATGGGCCAAAGGGTAAGAAGCAGGCAATGCCTTTCAGAGCTGACATGAGTCTGGGACTGGGGGAGGGGAAGAGCATTCTAGATGCTTCTATCCTTGGCAAGGAGCACCTTCCAGGTCCTGAACCATGAAAGACTCTAAAATAAGAATATTCTCAGGGAACAGATGGTATGTGTGTCCGTATGTATGTCCGTGCTAAGGGACCCCAGCCTGGGGTGTAATGGGGAGGGAAAGTGTGCAGGGCTGACCAGGAGTCAGGGGTCTGTAGGCTGGCTGTGGGGGATGGGAGGAACGCGTGGATGGGTAAAGGGGTCCAGGGAAGGTGTGGACGGTTGGGAGGGAGAAGAGGAGGGTGTGGATGACTAAGGCAGGGCAGGGGAGGCCGTCGCCGGCCGAAGGCATGTGAGAGGGCTAGTGAGGGCAGGGGAAGGTGTGGATGGCTGGCGCTGGAGACAGCAGCGGAGGCAGACGTAGGGTGGCCTCTCCCGGGCTCCCCCACCCCGTCTGTGGGCGTGTGCCCGGCTGCGCGTGTGCACGGAGCCCGGCCAGCAGGCCGCAAGGCCAGCACTCACCCCACGACTCCCTGGTTGTAGTTCCTCCGCTTCCACGGGGTCCCGCTGTACACACCCCCGCCGCCGTCGGCCCGGCCGCCCCCTGCGGCCCGCCCTCCGCTGGGCTGCAGCAGGCTGTAGTTGAGTCCGTAGGTGCTGGCCTTGTTGTCGCGCTTCCTCTTGTTGCTGGTGCCTGAGGCCGGGTCAGTGAGTTCGGCGGCGGGGAGGGCGGCCGAGGGATGCGGGGACGAGGACGCCGAGGGGGACGAGGACGCCGAGGGGCCCGCGGCAGCCCGGCGGGCCCAGGCCGCCGGCTGGTGGTGGTTGTTGTTGTTGTTGGTCGTCTCTAGGGGCAGGAAGTCCCGCTGCTCCGCGGGCAGCGCGTGGCCGCCCAGCAGGCGCTCCCCGGAGAGGTACATGCCGGCAGGGGCCGGGGCCGCGCCGCCGGGGCTGCCGGTGCTGCTGCCGCTCCCGCCGGTGGCCGTGCTGCTGCTGCTGCCGCCGCCGCCGCTCGCGCCGCCGCTGCTGTGACAGTGGTGGTTGAAGTAGAGGTTCCTCAGCCCTTGGGTCGTCTCCCAGATCTGCATCCACAGACTGTTGGACGGTCCGAGCTGCTCTGGCTGGAACCAGGCGATCCTCGGATCCATCAAACGGCGGCGGCCGCTGCCCCCGCCCCTCCTGGCCGCCCGCAGGGCCGCCGCCGCCGCCGCCGCCGCCTCAGGCGCACGCCCGACCTCGGCTACCGCTGCTGCTGCCGCTGCTGCTGCCGCCGCTCGGGGCCCGCCGCGGGCGGCGCGGTCGCGCAGAGAGCTCGGCCGGCGCCGGCGGCGTCGCTCCCGCCCTCGGGGGCTCCGCGGGCCCTCCCCCCTCCCTCCGCCCCTCCGCCGAGCCCCTGTCACCGGGGTCCCCGTGCAAATGGCGGCGGCGGCGGCGGCTCCGGAGAAGGGCGAGCAGCGGCAGCGGCGGCGGCGGCGGCAGCAGCGGCGGCGGCGGCGGCGGCAGCGGGACGCGCCTGCTCCGTAGCGTCCTCGCTGCTTCGGCCCCGGGGCGGGGCCTCCTCCGGCTCCGCCCCCTCACTCCGCCCCGCCCCCGCCCGCCCTCCCGCCCGCCGCCGCCGCCGCCGCGATCGCCCCGCCCCACGGCCGGCCGCCGGACAGACAGCCCCAGGCCGCGCTGTGCGTCACAGAGGCCGTGGCGGGCGCGGTAGGGCCCACAACTGCCCGGCCCAACCGTCCCCGCGCCGAGGACCGCATGTACCTCTGTGTCCGGGCGCCTCTAACGCTCGCGCCGCCGCCCGGCTCTGCTTTCTGCTCGCCGCGACAGCGGAGGCCGCACGAGGTCGCCGCCAGCTCCGCGGGGAAGGGACTGTGGGAGGCGCCGCCCCGCCTCTGGCCCTTCCCCGTCCCCTCCCCCACCCCGTGGCCTCCGGGACTCCTGGCTCTCGCGGCAGCTCCCCGCAGCCGGTTTCCCTGACCACTTTTCCTGTGGGGTGGGGTGAAGCGCCCCACGCCCCACCCGCCCGAGTCTGTGTCGGGCCCTGCCTGCACGCGGCTGCGCGAGTTCCGAGGCTCCCCGCGCCCCGCCCTGCCGGGAGTGCGTGAGCCGACATCCTAGGCAGAGGACCCCTCGCCCACCTGCGCAGCTGCATGCGCACCCTGGGTCCCGAGCGGGAGGACACTAGGCCTGAGTGTGTACGAAGCCGCTGTGCACACGCACACGTGTCCATGCGCAGATGCCCAGGCGCACAAGCCGCTCTGCTTCTAGTCACCCACCGCGACTGCCTCAGGTGCTCTAACAGCTTTAGAAAGTCATATAGTGACGTTTCTTGGTCTTTTTTATTTTTATTTATTTATTTTCCGGTACTGGGGTTTGAACTTGGCCTACATGTTGAGCCACTCTGCCAGCCCTTTCTCTGTGGGTTTGTTTTTTTTTTTCCTCCCAGATAGGGCCCCGAACTATTCCCCCGAAGTGGTGAGCCTCCTGATGGCTGCCTCCTGAGTCAGCTAGGATTACAGGCGTGAGCCACCAGAGTAGTGACGTTTCTTAGCACAAAACCATTTTAGCCTCAAACGAGGACTGTTTGTTAACCACCACTACGTATTCTTGGAAGGTGGTGGTTTGCATATCTTTTGAATCCTTGCGGGGCCAAAAAAAAAAGTTAAAGGGAAGTTTCAGCGTTTGAAGTCATCAAGAATAGTGAGCACATTCCATGTGTGCCTTTTAAGTGAAGTGTAAATTCCAGAACAAGTCCATGACACCTGATTTTGGCCTGTTTTGGGAAGCTCAATATCTTGGAAAGTTTTTGTGGGCAAAGAATGTAAAACTATCAGAGAATAGAGTTTGCTGTACCTTTTTTCTTGCTGAAAGAATAGCTCAGCAGTAAGTATGAAAAACACAAAAGTCTTCTAGAATTTTGGTTCATTTTATTTGACTTACTTTTACTAGAAGTTAGTAAAGGTTAATCAGAATGAAATTTACTAAATATTCTAAGAATTACATAATCAGGATGAGGAGTAGTGGTGGTTTTTTTGGTTTGTTGTTTTGTTTGTTTTTGCATTTTGCGGTGCTGGGGTTGGGGTTTGAACTCAAAGCCTACAGCTTGAGTTACTCCACCAGACCTTTTTTATGATGGGTTTTTTTTGGAGACAGGGTCTCTGGAACTATCTGCCCAGACTGACTTTGAACCACAATCCTCCTGATCTCTGCCTTCTGAGTAGCTAGGATTACAGAAGTGAGCCACTGGCCTCAGGCCATTAGAGGTATTTTTTTATGCAATACAATTGACCAAAATAAAACAAGTCAGTTGGGTGTTAGGGGATCTTGCCTGCAGTCCTAGCTACTCAGGAGGCAGAGTTCAGGAGGATGGTGGTTCCAAAACAGCTCCAGAGACCCTATCTCAAAAAAACCCATCACAAAAAAGGGCTAGTGGAGCAGCTCAAGGTGTAGGCCCTGAGTTCAAGCCCCAGTACCACAAAAATAAATGTCATCAAATAGTGTCATTTGATGGCTTCAAGATAAGGGAAGGCCCCAAAAAAGTTAACCCTATCAAGGTCTCACTATCTATACCCACTGTGAAGATATTGTTATAACTTCTTCCCAAATCTCTCCAACCTTTTTTTTTTTTTGGTGAAACTGGGGTTTGAATTCAGGGCTTTGAACTTGCAAAGTAGGCGCTCTACCCTTTAAGCCACACTTCCACTCCATTTTGCTCTGGTATTTTTTAGAGATTAGGTCTATGGAACTGTTTTCCAGAGCTGGCCAAGAAACGGGATCCTCCTGATCTCAACCTACCAAGTAATTACCGGGGGGGTGGGGGGAGTGGAGAACAGGTACTAGAATTTGAACTCAGGCCTCACTTGCAAAGGCAGGTGATCTACTGCCACTCTTTTAACATATTTCTTTAAACATCGGAGAAAACATTAAATGTCATATGTAAAACAAAGTATTCAAAGTTACTAATAGTACATGAGAGAAACAAATATTTGTTATATCTGAGGACTCATTTCTTTAGGCAAATGTTAAGAACCACGAAAGTAATGGGACTAGAGGTGTTACTCAAGTGGTACAGCACCCGCTTTATAAGCATGAAGCCCTGAGTTCAAACTCCAGTCCCGCCAAAAAAAAAAAAAGAGAGACTAAAGTATTGGCAAAATGATCAAATGAGTTAGCAATTATAAAAGTACTTTGTAAACTAAAATGGGGCCTGAAAGGCAGGGCTTACTGGTCTCATTCAGCAGCAGAGAATGCTGACGGGTTAGGCCTGCCTGTAACTTAACCATGGTTCAAGGCACTCAGCAAATCTTGGGTGAATGTCTATCATCCATGCAGAGCTAAGCTAATTGCTTCAGAGGAGGTAAATGATCAACTAGGGCCTTTGGCTACCTCCCATGAATTTACTGTCAGGTTGGAGAGGCAGAAAGAGGTAAATATTTAAACTCAAATTGCAATTCATTCAATTAATTCAGCAAATATATCTTAGGCAATTAATATATGCCAAATTTTGAGAATACAGCAAAGAACAATGCTGATAAAGGGCCCTGCCTTCATGGACCTTGTATTCCAGTGGGTAAGACAAGCATATAAAGTCACATGGTGGTAAATGCTATGCAGAAAAGAAAGCAGGCTAAAGGCAAAGTGACAGCTATTTTTAGATGGGCCAATCAAGGAAAGCTGCTCTGAGGAAGTGATATTTGAGCAGGGAGTTGAGATGGCCATGACCATCTAGGGAATGATCTATTAGAAAAGGGGAGTAGCAAGTCCAAAGGCCCAAGGCAGCAATATGCTTAGTGTGCAAGATAATAAGGTAATGTGATTGTTGATAGTATGTCAGAAGCATACAGTATGTCTTTTGAAAGGTGCCTTAAAAATCATTCGGCCCAATATGTACTTTCTATGAATTATTAAAACGGCATCATTAAAAAAATCATCCAAAGGCTGGTGGAGTGGCTCAAGTGGTAGAGCACCTGCCTAGCAAGTGTGAGACCCTGAGTTCAAACTCCAAAACCACCACCAAAAAAAACAAAAAAAGCATCCAGCCCAAAGGGAAACACCATGAGTATTTCATGTGTACAAAAATGTATTCACAGCTAGGCACCAGAGGCTCACATAGGTAATCCTGTCTACTTAGGAGGCTGAGATTGGAAGGATTGAAGTTTGAGGCCAGCCTGGCAAATAGTTCGAAAGACCCCATCTCCAAAATAACCACAGCAAAGTGGACTGGAGGTGTGACTGAAGCAGTGGAGCCCCTGCTACAATATTGTGCCTCAAAATAATCTGCTACTGCATCCAGAGAGACTATACAAATTTCAATAATCAACTTTTTATAATATTTTCATGCAGTCTTTTTTTAAATAGAAATGCCAATTAATCCATGATAAACAGAACAGCAATAGTTTTGTTTTTTTGTTTGTTTGTTTTGAGTAGTGGGGTTTGAACTTAGGGCCTATACCTTGAGCCACTGCACCAGCCCTTTTTTGTGATGAGTTTTTTTGAGATAGGGTCTGAAGAACTGTTTTGCCCAGGCTGGTTTCAAACCTCGATCCTCCTGATCTCTGTTCGTGAGTAGCTAGGATTACAGGTACAAGCCACTGGTGCCCAGCAATAATTTTACTTACTCAACTTTTTCATATTGCTATGTAGAACAAAAGAAGAGATGTTTATTACGTTCTTCAAAACCATCTATATTATATTGATAAGCCAAAAAACACAGCTACTACAAACACAGGTATGAGAATAGTATCCTATTGATTTTCAATATTCTTGTTCCTATGGGGAAAAATGTTGAGTTGATGGCCTTAACTTGCAACATTTACTGAGATACCAAAGTCCTACCCAATAAAAATTGAATAGAGAATGAGAAGGAAATTACCCAAGAATCACACAAATTTAAGTAGGCTTTTATTGATTTATTAACTTAAGTAAAACATGGTAGTAGCACATGGTAGTAATATCGTCAGTAATTGTCACTATCACTAAATATTTGACAGTGTGTGATCAAATTACTCTAGCGTTAATAAGAGTTAATGAGTAATACTTATATAGTAGTAAAAATCTTCTGTGTTTAGGTTATGAAGCATGTTCCAGGTATTAATAATCTCAGTCATAGGCTCCACTTGCAAACTTTCCCTTTTATGTGTAAAATATTCATCATTGAACATCATTGGTATTTTTCTCCTTCATAAACACAAAGAGGATTCCAGTTATGGAACTATTCTTCAGTGAGTCTTGAAAATGATAAGCAAGGTAGAAGCTTGTATGTTATTCAAGACAGTCAGAATTTCTTCTATTCTTACTGTCCTAGAAACAAAACTGCTCAGGTTGCATGCCACTTGGGGGTCTTGG